AGGAAGAAACAAGCCCAAGAAGAGTGGAGGATTTGAGAGGTAGGAGAGCAGGCTTGGTGGCCGAGTGGGACCTGCCATTGGTGAGAAGGGGACCATCCTACATTCCTGAACAAGGGAGTGGCGAGGCAAAGCAATACCGTGACAAAAACGAGGCCGCTGGCAGGAGGCAGAACAGATCGGAACGGTTAAGAAGCCGGAAGACCTAGCCGACTTCTGCCAAAACTCAGACACAAGACTGGGGTGAAAGTGTCGACCGGGATGACACCTCTCCCAAGAACAGGTGATAAAGAAAGTGGCGGGCGTGCTGGTGGCAGGGGAGCCGTTAACAAACAGGGCTGGTATTAGGAGGCCAGCGAGAAGAGAGAAGGTGGAGGCGACTTGATGGAGACCCTATTCATAGCTTTTTGGTTAAGAGCTTTCTCCCAGAATATCCAGGTTTTAATATGACAAGATCCAAAATATTTTCTAGGGGAGCTGCCAGTCTCCTATCTCTATTAGACTATCTAGATGTATCCTGCTGATGATTCCAACAACTTCAGGCTTCTGTTATCTTAAAAGAATTCAAATGGAGCTGAGTGAAATGTCCCCCTACCTGCCAGCCTCCCTTAGGGAACTCTTCTGCCCTGAGGATGAAAAGCTCCAATTTTTTTTATTTTTTCTTTTAAATCAAGACAGGATCAACAGGGCCTTCCACGATCTCTTCCTCCACTGCCCATCCCTTCCTCCCCTCCACCATCTACACTAGAAGCTCCCAGAGGGCATGGCTATGTTTTGTTCCTCTAAGGTGCCTTGAGCATGGCAGGAACTGGGCGTTTTATAAAGAAAGTAGACAGAGAGAGGAAAGAAAGAGGGAGCCAGCCCCCACCAGCTATAACATCCTTGGCTAAAGAAAGCTGCCACCTTCCCACACTTGCTCCGAAGCCAGTCTGGGAGGCCTCAGCCTGGAATGAACTCAATGCATCGGACGTTTCCCACCAGATAATTAGGAAACACCCCACTGGATCCAGGAATTCCACTTCTGGGTATTTATCCAAAGGAAATGAAATCATCTCAAAAGTCTATCTGCATCCCCATGTTAACTGCAGAATTATTTACTTGGCACAGGCAGAGGGTGAGATGGGTGGGTGAAATGGGTGGGGGTGGCCAAAAGGTGCAAACTGCCAGTTATAAGGTACCTAAGCCCTGGGGATGGGACGTACAGCATGGTGATGGGAGGGAAGGAGGGACGGACCCACTGTGCCAGGATAAGTCCTGTTCAGTGGCACCATACAGATAAGACTTTGCTGCCTATAAGAACATTTGCCCACAGAGGAAACCAGTCTCCCTAGGGCTGCACTGGGAGAGAAAACGAGCTCTCCAGGACCGGGAGCAGTGACTCCAAAAACTGCACAGTGGAATTTTCCTGGGGAAGTAACACCAATAAACGGAAAACCACATATATATCCCCCC